GGGACTGCGAGAGCGCGGCGCCGGCCGACAGGCTGGGCCACCCCCTGCCCACAGACTGTGCCCAGAGCAGCAAACACAACTGCAGCTCCTACGTGAAGAGCAAGAAGAAATCCAAAAAGCACAAAGACAAGGAGAAAGAGAGGAAGGAGAAGAAGAGCGAAGAGAAGTGCAAAGAGGAGACGCAGGACTGTGAAGTAATAAAAAATGCTGACTTAGTTAGTGTTCCCCAGGATGTGGCAGGTATGTAAGCTCTGAAGCATCCTCCTGGGTCGTGTGTGCTAAGAGAATAGCAGTGTCAGCTGCGTGTTGCTTGTGCTCAAAACCCTTCTGAGGACAGAGGTTGCCTGTGTCGTTCCACTGAACGAAATAATATTGTTGTCCCTACCTGCAAATTGACGAATGGTTCCTCTCTAAAAAGAGGATATCAGGTTTTCCCTCTTCAACCTTTTATGCTGCTTGGAACTACCTGAGATCGTGCCATGTTTCTCCTTGTTAAATTAAAAGCTTTGTTAGTATATGGGGATGAGTAACGGACATCAGGATCCATTGGTGGAGTGAAAAAAATGATGCTTTTTGATTGCCTCCTGCTCTTGTGCCTGTGGTTGGTGCTGGGATGGTTCTTGTATTGATTTTTAACTCAGTAATGAAAACTGAGTCACAAAAGCTTTTAATATCGGATGCAAAAGAAACGATAGACAAGTCTTAGATAAAGCACTAGTGGAGCCAGCTACGATCTGCTCTCTTACGCTGCAATAACTTCCCCGTTGTGTCCAACCATGAGCTTGATTTTTTTTTTCCAAGGATTAACAAAATGCTTTCCATCGAGATGGTGCATTTCCAAGTCAGTTCTGTGTGCTCTTAGAAACTAGAGGAGAGAATATATGTTGGCTAGCCCGCCCCGTTCCCGTGCCAGTGCCTGCTGCTTTCCTGTTCTCTGCGGGTGCATTAGGCCTTCTTAAAATTCTCCCAAGCAGTGGGACTTCCTGCGCTGGCTCCAGCAGCACTGCAGTCTGGAGCTCCTGCTATATCACATCCATCTTCTTTTCCTTTGCCCCATTATTCCTCTTGTTCACTAAACCCCTCCTCAGGCTGCTGTGTGAAAACCACCCAAATTTGGCTCAAAAAAGTAACTTGCAAGTGCAGCTGACCCCTCCAGCCCCTGTGAGAGGAGCGGGGCTGCCTCTCCATCGCCTCTGCCGTATGTTTTACTTGTTACCCAGTCATTTTTAGCCAGGCTTATAGTTCTGCTCACTATAAACAGGGAACCTCGAGGTGCTGCAGACCAGCGTTCTGAAAAACCAGATCCTTTTTTTCCTTTGAGCTTGCTTTTGTGTGAGGTTTTTGCACGTTTTTGAGTTGCTCTCCCCTCTCTTGCATCCTCATCCGTAGCAGATACAGATAGTTACGCGTCACACACGCTCTGCCAACACCTCTTGCTTAATAGCAACTGCTGGGGCTTCTTTTCTTGCCCGGCGCTGGTGATTTATCCCTTTTCCCCGTGCTCTCCTGACCCGGTGCCCGTTCGCTGTCCCGCTGTCGGCAGCGGATGCTCCCGGCCGCGGC